ACTTGAAGCCATCCAAAAGAAACAATTCTTAAAAACCCCAAAATTTTAACATCTTCTGATTTATAACCCCATTACTTGACTATTGTAACTCTCTTTTCTTTGAAGACATTCCTTCAATCCTGTAACAATCTGTTGCATGTTTGGCCTCTCGGTGACGTTTTGCGAAACAGAGGCCAAAGCAAGCTCCACAATCTTCCAAACAGAGTTTGAATCAAAATCTTTCGCCATTTTCGGATCGGTAACGTTTCTCACATCGTTCGTAGACTTTAAGATCGATATCACCCAATCACTAACATGAAAACGCTTCGTTTTTGACTCATTGATCACAGTTTTCCCCGTAATCATCTCCAATAAAACAACTCCAAAGCTGTAAATGTCACTCTTCTCGTTTAACCCGTTCGACTCGAAACATCTACACATTGTTCGAACACAATCACAACGAATAGTTTATCGGGTAAACGGCGCAGAGATAAGAGAGAAAACTCACAATGGATCAAGATATCCGGGAGTTCCAGCGACTAGTGTGGATACATGAGAACGACTCTCTGTTTGAAAAATTCTCGAGAGTCCGAAATCCGCAAGCTTTGCTCTGTTTTTATCGTTCAACAATATGTTTGAAGTCTTTACATCTCTGTGAACTATTGGAGGTTTGCATCCACAGTGAAGATACTCAAGCCCTTCACAGAGATTTTTTCGTTAAAAGATCAAATCTTTCGGATTGATTTAAAACGAAAAAACAAGAAAGATTGAAACTTTTTGTTCATTACCTTGTGCTGCATCNAGTGCAATCTGAAGTCTCTGTGTCCACGTCAATGTATTGTCATACTTTCCCGAGAGATGATCCGCCATGTTTCCATTAGCCATGAACTCATATATCAATCCCATTTGATCAGATTCATGGAAATAACCGATTAGCGCGGTGAGGTTTACGTGGTGTACCCTCACAAGAACTTCCATCTATACAAAATTTTATATAACTAAAAAATGTTGTTAAGTGTTCATTTGCATATCTTTTTGGAATCAATATATGAAATTTGACATTACCTCGGAGCGATACTCTTTGAAGCCTTGAGATGATGTTTCTGATAACAGTTTAACTGCGACTTGTTGGTTGTTATAGTAGCCATGGTAGACTGTTCCAAAGCCTCCTTTACCGAGGACACGACCGAAGTTATTTGTTATCTTTACAACATCTGCAAAGGTGAACAATAATTTGTTCTCCGATTTCGGACTGTTTCTTGTTCCGTTGTCTGCATCTTCTTCCACCGCAGAGGTTACTTTGCAAGAGAAAATTTAACAATTGGTACTGTGATAAACAGATATATAAGTACAAAGATAGATTTTTACCGGATTTTTTCCTTCGGTTCTTGATCTTCCAAAACACACCAGACAATAACAGGAGAATGAACAATGCTGCGAATGATGCACCAAGCGCGGTCACGAGTGTTTTCTTGTTACTTTTTCCGCAAGAAATCTCCGTACAGAGTCCTTGATTCTCTCCAACCCTAAGCGAGAGCGATCCACTCTTTGATCTTTCTAATAACTCGGATGGAACCGAACCTGTGAGCTTGTTTTTCTCTAGATTTCTGCACATATTGTTAATAGTTAAGAGTCTAGTGTTATCAACCTAATTCGTTACTGTCGTATCGATATGCTTATGACTTACAAAACCCTCATGAACTTCAATCTTGATAGAAACTCTGGTATGTCTCCGGTTAAACCATTGTTTGATAAGTCTCTGCCAGGTAAGAAGATACATCAAGTTGCATTTTTCAAGTCAAGAAACTCTTTAATAAAATACAAAAACATCAGTATCAGAATCTTGAATTCTATGAACTCACAGCTCTTGAATCATTGTGAGGTTAGAGAAGGAGGGAGATATGTGACCCGTTAGCCCGCTAGACGATAAATTCCTGCCCCCAAACAACGATTTTAAATTAAGTTACAGAATCTACAAATTGATCAAGAAGAGATAAAGATTAAGTTATACTTACAGTGATGTGATTCTGGGAGGGGTAAGACTATCATAACTACAATTAAGCCCTTCCCAAATGTAGTCATTAGGCATACAAGGATCTCCTTGCCAGTTTTTCTTCACTTTATAACTCGTCTTTATACTCGTAACCGCATCACCTGTAAGTTTCAATTGAAACCATTGATCAAACTATGATAAAGGATGGAACTTTTTCAATCATTGTACTAGCAACATACCGTCCTCTTGGTTAGTGCGAGATTGCGAGAAACTATTTCCGATGTAGATCTCTAGAGCGTTAATGATTGGCGGAAGAGTGGACTTGGGAGTTCTCACGAGCGAAAATGCAATCTCCGTTTGGCTCTCAGGGTTTAGAAAAAAAGTGTTTGTCTGAAGATACTTGGGACTGAAGCCAGGAACAATCGTCACCCCGTTAATGCGTATTTCGAACTCTCTGGTCTGGTTTGGTTTGAGACTTAGATCTTCGACCTCGGCGAAGTGCATGTAAACAAAGTACCTGACATTTGGATCACTGTTTTCCAAAGTCATTGTGATGGGATTTGTTGTGTTTATTGGAGTCATCCCTGTGCTCATTACCAAACTTGAAATGTTGTAACTGTTTTTGTCTGAGATCACTGGAAGTGTGGTATTAATCTCTCTACAGTATACAAAGTTGCGAGGTATCCATATTCTATCGTACACATCATCATCATATCTGATTCAGAAAAAAAGAAAATCATACTTCAAGTTTCAAAAAAAAAGTAAGCTTTGAGCCAAAGAAACAGAGCATGAAACAGAGCATGAAACAGAACACGAAACAGAGCACGAAACAGAGCTTTACCTGACAGGTGAATCCATGAGAGAGCCAAAGTCCCAGCGTCTGGAGAAGAACAGAGCACCGTTTGGAGAATCATATGTAGTATTGTCGTTTCCTAGAAACCGAAGCTCTAAAGTGGACATAAATGGAGTTCCTTTACCTTTGTTTCCCAAACAGACAAATATTTTCTCATATTGGCTCATGTAAACGACTTCTTTGGAAACAACGACCGATCCATTGCTGAGCAAGACAGTGTCCCAGATAGTTCCACCAAGAAACAGATCAAATTCAGGTGAACCGTTTTCTCCGTCGTAGTTACCGTACATGAAACTAGCTCTTATGAGATACTTCTTGCCTTTCCCCTGTTTTGGCATCAGTGTGTAGCAGTTTCTCGAACCTTCAGGGAAGCTCCTTAGGTTTTGAAGCTGTCTTTGAGCTGAGAAAGAGACCGATTTGGAGACTCCGGTTTCGACAAAAGATGAATCTGAGACGTAGTTTATGCCCGTTGTGTCGTCTTTGTACGATGATCCACTTGGGATTCCACAGTCAATGCTTATGAAACCTATGATCATACATCGAAGAAAAGTTATTAGACACTAGAAAATATAGACTTTCAAAGATTAAGGAATCAGTTAAGTTAACCTGATTGGTCTTGAGCGAGAACCGAAACGACGAGACACAACGCAAATGTTGCTGAATATACCAAATAGAGACAAGGAAACTTTTCCATTTTAGTCTTGTTCTTGAACAGGGGAAGAAGAAAAAACAACCAAAGATATGGGTTTGAGAAACTCGTTGTGATGATGTTTGTACTTAAAAGACGACCAAACTTAAACAAATTGGCTACTTGCTCAAGGAAAGTCAAATCACCACCAAAGTCAATGAGAGACCCGCCGAATATATGAATTATTATCATCCAATAAACAAAAATATAATACCTCATTTAGTCGTACGAAGATTAATTTTCATCATAGACTAGCAAAAATATATGTTTTCAATAGATAACTCAACTTGAAATATGTTTATAGTCTACCTACAAAGTCGTTTGAGACCATTTTTTATATACTTTGATATATAGTTATGTACAACATAGTGTATATACATCAAAATTTGTATCATGATGCCCAAAAAACTTTACAATATTCTGTAACGTATCAAAGTATAGACTATAGACCCTTGTTTGTCCAAAAACACTATTATGCGCCGTATTCGTGCGCACTGTACACTTTGCCCCTGCGCACATAGTCGTTATCACTTTCCCTTGTATATATTCACACTTCAATGACTCTAAAACCTGTCTTATGTCAAACCAGAAGAACGTGAAGAGAATGGCCCTAGACTGTTCTTCGCTGCAATAACGTTCTCTGCAAGCAATCGCCATTTAGATTCGTCTCTCTTGCTAAGCTTCTTCATTTTCTCCTTGAAATTCCTACAAGATTTACAAAAAGATGACTACAAATCTGTTTCTAAAGATTGGAGTTATATCTGTAATTTGCAATCGAAACTTACCGGCAGAGAGGGATCTTGCAAGAATGAGAATCAGCACAGATACAAGAGTGAAGCTGAAGAAGCTGCCACATCCGTTTGCATTGAAGACATGAAGCCCTAGACTTGCATCCCAAGAAATTTCGAAGTGCACCTTCAAGTACTTTACAAGCAGGGAACTTACACACGGTTTGGCTTCCTTTAAGAGCCTTATCGCGAGGTCCAATCGTGCCACAACCTTCTCTATATATGTGTATAAGAGCTTCCGTAGCTTCATAAAGTTCCAAATACATTTTTCTCTCCTCGAGTTTGTCCCTTCTTACTTGTTTCCGAGTATCTGCTTCTACAATTGCTTCAACGAGCTCTTTTTCGAGCAGAGGATCAGCCCGTTTCATCACTTTCCATCCCTCTGTTGCAGATACAGATTTGAAGTCTTTGATGACCATTGAAACACATACAAAGCTAATCCTTGTGGCGTCGCAATTTCTTGCCAATTGAAGCACATCGATCACATTCTCCTTGTTAATCCACCCTTGATCAAGAACCTCTACACATACTCTTTTCAGAGATGGGACCGAGTAGCAGTGTGACAGAACCAATAAATGGAGCACGAAGTTGTTCATTTCTTCCTCCTCGTAGCTGCAGGAAGTTTAAATCAGGCATTTCTTCAAAGAGAAACTAGCATTATGAAAGCAATTTCCATTTGACGCATATAAAACATACCAGGAAGAGTAAAGAAATCGAATGAACATGTAGGCAGCTTCATAAGGTACTCCAGGGATTTTGAGGTATGTTTTTCCTTTTTTATCCCTCGATTGGTACAGAAGTTTCGCTATAACTGGTGAAGCTGCAGCCTGAAGAAGACAGAACATTGTTATATCCCTCATGCCAAGTGAAAATTTCCATAGATCCATTAACTTAGCATATTCCTTGTCTTACATTGAGCTAAAATCAGTTTTATAGCTTAACAAGAACTCACCAGGACACTTGAATGGGCGGGTAAGCGAGACTTGTTATCGGTTTCAACATATGTATCTGCTCCAATTCCTTCTTTGAAAAGCTTATCCCAAGTTTCTACTGCTTCTTTAGGCACAAGGTGTGATAAGTTAGAAGGTTTCCTTGTAGAAGCTTCAAAACGCTGGTAGGTTATACAAGGAAGAGGAGGGGGTTTCGGAATGTTCATGGTGCTAGACACTGTTTGTGGTGAAGTAGATTCAAGCAGAGCCAAGACATTATCAGCAGGAACATCGAAATACTCTTCTCCTTCGATATCGAACACTCCATGAGTAGATGATACCAAATGAGCATGGGTTTCTGTTGAAGCCATTGGATCAAACCCACCAATTGACAATAGATTCTGCAACAGAGAAGAAGTGATTAGAGATAGGCGTGAAATGGTTCTTCAATCTTTTGAGATCAAATGCAAGAAACAACCATAACTAATGAATCAGAGTAAAGAGTCAATCTCAGCTTTTTAACTTTAGTGTACTTCAAAATTCCTCAAACCAAGATTCAGGTTCCATAGTCCAGTGCAATATTAGAACTTAGGAATCAAATCTCCAAAAATAATCCTACTTAAGCAAATCATCGAACACAAAGTTAGCAACTTTTGATTCACATAGATCAAACAGAGACCCAAACATGAATCAATTAAAACCCCATTTACTCGATCGGTCCTGTTATTCAATATCCTTAATCAGACATAAAGAGCATCAATGAGAATCCAGAGGCAGATACAGAGATTATCAATACCAAGAAACGCAAGAACAGAGAACAAGAACTGCCTGATGAGCCAATAAAACAGTTCAAAAGATGAAATTATACGGAAGATTCTCAGTTACGTAAGAAAGAAATCAAACCCAGAAAGTGGAACGACGAAAAATGCTCACACAAACGAAAAAAATCGAAACTTTAAGCGAAAGTACCTGATAATTGTTTTAACACTCGAGCAAGAGAAGAACTTTTTATTGCCTAGAAAATGAGAATCCAAGATTCACTCAATCTTCAGCAGAATCTTCTCTCCCAGAAAGTGAGAATCTAATTAGTGAAGTTCACAACCATTAATCTTCGATCACGAGCTCAAGGCTAAGAAAATCGAAAGGAAAGAGACAATGGAAGCCAAGAGAAAAAAGAACCTTTTGTGCCAAGTGGTTTTTCGTCGTAAATGATATAATACAAAAGAAAATTCACGAAAAAGTAGCGAACTTGCATACAAAAACGTAGTCCAAACGCCGTCGTTTTAAGTGGTATAATACTAATTCTGAGTATTTCTTCTTGGCATTTCGAAATAAAAGACAAATTGGGTG